CCTTATTGATTAAGCTAGAGTATCTTGAATTTGTCAGGCACCTGAACTTTGTAAAGAGAACCTACCTCTTAGAACTTGATGATTATGCGACACACCTTCTCTTCCCCCCAAAAAACATGGCAATTGCAATTTAATGAGGGATTTTGAGAATTCTCTGCTACCAATCTCAAATTCCACTTCTGATATGCAATTCTCAGCTTCCCTGAGATAAATACAGTGGTACCTCGGGTTAAGAACTTAATTCGTTCTGGAGGTCCATTCTTAACCTGAAACTGTTCTTAACCTGAGGTACCACATTAGCTAATGGGGCCTCCCGCTGCTGCTGCCATGCAATTTCTGTTCTCATCCTGAGAAGCAAAGTACTTAACACGAGGTACTATTTCTGGGTTAGCGGAGTCTGTAACCTGAAGCATCTGTAACCCGAGGTACCACTGTAATAACTAAAGATATTTTGTTGTGGAGGTCCCTTTGCAGTTCCTCAGTGCCTTCAACTTGAGCTGTATAAACATTTATAAGACAGACCTTCTCAATTTACCTCTTCTGAAACAATGTACAAATCAAAACATAAAAAGGTAGGGGTAAAGGTACCCCAGGCCGTAAAGTCCTGTTGTGGACTCTGGGGTGCAGCTCTCTTGTAGTAAAGAAAGTGACAGGAACACGCACTCGAAAGGGTGGGATAACAATTACAGGTTGACACAACGCCATATGAACTTTCGGCAAACAGATCGGAATGAACGCTCCATAAACAGCCATATAACTTCCCCACAAACTTTGTGCAAACAAATCTGAACGAATGTTCAGTAAGCGGGTCCTCTGGAAGCAGCCTTACTTAAGTGCTAGCAGTGGCAAATGGTGCTCAGGAATCCGGGACATGCAATCCTGCATGCAAGTAAGTATTGGGGGGTCTAATAGTAGCCACACCTCAAGTCCTTTGCTGCAAGCCTTCCCACGAGACTCTGATGAAAGCACACTGACATATGACGACATAGGAAGATTAGTGCCGGATTTATGTATAAGCTAAACAAGCTATAGTTTAGGGCCCCACTTTCTTAGGCCCCCTAAAAAAATTAAAGGGAAAAAACACTGGATGCACATTTCCAAAATATAAGGTAAAAAACAAATACAGTGGTACCTCGGGTTACAGACGCTTCAGGTTACAGACGCCGCTAACCCAGAAATAGTACCTCGGGTTAAGAACTTTGCTTCAGGATGAGAACAGAAATTGTGCGGCGGTGGCGGCAGCAGGAGGCCCCATTAGCTAAAGTGGTGCTTCAGGTTAAGAACAGTTTCAGGTTAAGAACGGACCTCCGGAACGAATTAAGTTCTTAACCCGAGGTACCACTGTAAAATAAAACCTACATACAGTTAGAGCTTAATAATTATTTCACTACTAATAGACTTCTTCTTAATTGTATTTCAGTTCCACAATTACTTTGATAAAATACATATCTTGTTATGTGCAAATGGCTTTAGATACCTATTAGGTCCATAAATTACCATATAGCATATATTCAACACAAAAAAACGGCGACAATTTGTTGTTGACAAAGGACACCTCGACATATAAAGGGCCCCATTACCTTCAGTAGCTTAGGGCCTCATCAAACCTAAATCCGGCCCTGAAGATTATATACAGAGTTACATGTTCTCTACCTTTGCTTCAGGCCTTCTTTTCAAACCATATTCTCCAGGTTGCCTCTGGCACTTGGCGCTAAGCAGACATTGTCAGCCCTGGAGATGCCTCTCTCTTTCCTTGTTTTTCTTTCTCCCACGCACCCATTGTTTGCCATGCATGCTGCTGGGTTTCTTCCAAAGAATTCTCCAAGGCAATAAAAGATGAGTGTGTCTGTTTTCGCTGAAGGAACAGGGGCTAATGGATGTGCATGACATCTGTCATCTTAATATCTCCTGTTGTGTTTGATCAGCAGGTGAAGTCAGCTGGCATGGGTTGAATAAATATGGCAAGCCCTCTTTTCTCAAAAGAGATGTCTGCTTTAAGCTGGCAGACTTTTTTTAGGGGGGGTGGGATATGAAAGATTAATTCAAAGCATGCTATCTCCTCTACATTAACATGCATCACTCTTAACACCAGCTTTCTAAGACTTGTAGCAATATCCTTACCACTTCCCCAGGAGCTCAGGATAATTCCCATGACAAACTGTTCCACATTTTGCTCATACGTAATGTAACCCATGGTGTTGCTATGTTAACAGTGCATTCTGATATATGTTTATTCAGAAGCAGGAAATAGGAAGAGATTCGTTTTTGCCGGCATTTTAACGATCTACCCAATTTGCACTTCTTGAAACGAAACTATCCTTCAAAATCGGCACTTCTCCAATGCTGTGATTCAGTTCTGCGAGGAGACACGGTGTACAAAAATGTATATAATTAGGGGCATAATTATGCATATGGTAGTTAAAATAAAATCCAAGTATGAATTATATTAGGGGAAATTGCTTAGCAAAAATGTGTGTATGTGTGTGGGGGAGAAATACTAAAATCCGGACAAATTTTCATTAGGCTTTTTATTTTTTAAAAAAGAAATAACACATTGCTGTGGAAATGTGGAGAATAAAATTGGTTAAAAAATGGAAAGCTGAGAGAAAGTGAAATTGATAGAATTTGTCCATCCCTATTTAAAAGTAACTCTTGCCGATTTCAGTGGGACTCAGGTCTCCTATAGCCTGTTGCTTCATTTGGGTGGAATTCAGTCACATCCTGGCAAATTTAGGTTGTGCAATTAAAGCTGCTTGGGAGATCTTGGACACTGGGAATCCTCAGGATGGGATTTTTTTGTGTGGTAAGGATAACAATGGGGGAGGTTTGTTGTTGTTTAGTTGGTTAGTCGTGTCCGACTCTTCGTGACCCCATGGACCAGAGCACGCCAGACACTCCTGTCTTCCACTGCCTCCCGCAGTTTGGTCAGACTCATGTTGGTAGCTATGAGAACACTGTCCAACCACCTCGTCCTCTGTTGTCCCCTTCTCCTAGTGCCCTCAATCTTTCTCAACATCAGGGTCTTTTCCAGGGAGTCTTCTCTTCTCACGAGGTGGCCAAAGTATTGGAGCCTCAGCTTCACGATCTGTCCTTCCAGTGAGCGCTCAGGGCTGATTTCCTTCAGAATGGAGAGGTTTGATCTTCTTGCAGTCCATGGGACTCTCAAGAGTCTCCTCCAGCACCATAATTCAAAAGCCTCAATTCTTCAGCGATCAGCCTTCTTTATGGTCCAGCTCTCAGTTCCATACATCACTACTGGGAAAACCATAGCTTTAACTATACGGACCTTTGTCGGCGAGGTGATTTCTCTGCTTTTTAAGATGCTGTCTAGGTTTGTCATTGCTTTTCTCCCAAGGTGCCTTTTAATTTCGTGACTGCTGTCACCATCTGCAGTGATGATGGAGCCCAAGAAAGTAAAATCTCTCACGATAATGCTTTGCGATACCATTCACAGTGCCACCTGCCCCCAGGCAGTGAGTACTATGAGGTATGATAAAACAAACTCAGACAGACAACGGTCAGGATCAAAAATGGCCACAACTTTATTAAATAACTGGTGGAGGTGGAATTTTGACCAACTGTGCTGCGGAGGGCAGGAGCATCCAGCTTTTAAGCACTGCAGCCAGTGCCCAGCCAGGCAGCAAGGCACTGCCCCTCCAACAGAGCCTCTGATTGGCCCATTTTATCTTGACTTTCTGGCGGGAATCCCTCTTGGAACTTCTGCTGACCAGGGAATTCCCTTAATGGCTGGCCAACATGTGGGCTTTTGCTGCTGGGGACGGCAGATGAGGGGAAGGTCCTCAATCGCCACCCACCTGAAAAGATTGAGCAGCCATTTTTGGCACACCGTCATTTAACCTCCCCATAAAGCAATCAGGCTGGAATGCTTGATAAAGAGCCAATATCCTGGTTATTCATCTTGTGCTTGATGGAGCTTGCTCCCAGATGAACAGACAAACTGCACAGCAGTCTTTAAAAAACAACAACCCCACAGCCCAATAAATTGTAGTTTTCTGTGGGTCTTTCAACAGAATGTTCAGCTCCCTTAAAATTACATTTCTCAGGCGTCTTTGGAGAAAAGCGTGGTAGTTAGTTGTATTGGCATGAAACCAGTATTGTTGTAGAGCAGAGGTTCCCAGGCTTATTTAGCCTTATTGTGCCCATTTCAGGAAAAAAATACTCAGCGTACACTCCTGCAAATCTGCCTTCTTTAAGCAAACAAACAGAAAGACTCAGGGACAAATTTGTTTTCTTTTATGTAGCTCTATTTCTACCTACGTCCCACAACACAGTAAAGAAAGACGTTGTTAACAAGACACCTTGAAGCTTGAAATTATAAAGTTATTTATTAAAACGCTTGGGGAGGACCAAAGTGAAGCCTGCCGGCTCAGTCCAATCCACCCCAGGGGCAGGGCTGGTGCCACAGCCTGCCTGCCATTGGCCAAATAGGAAGGCAAACTGCGATCCACTTTCTGGTCCTGAGTTTCATTTCATTTATTGAATTTACATACATTTATTGAATTTACACACCCCTATACCCAGAGGTCTCAGGGTGGTTAAATGATTGAGCCTATTTTATATCAGTCAAGAAGCTTCATATATCACAGTTGTGTACACTATCATTTGCTTGCTCTTCCATCACCCCGGCAATAATTATAACATTCTCTATGACAGAAAGCTCTGGAGCGTTTTAGTGGCTTTTTTTTTTTGCAATAATTGGCTCATTTGCATATATACCTGTTGAGCAGATGGAAAGCAAGCATTTAGACAGCTATAGAATCCATAGAATTGTAGAGTCGGAAGAGACCCCAAGATTCATCTAGTCCAGTGTTTCTCAACCTGTGGGTCCCCAGATGTTGTTGGACTACAACGCCCATCATTCCTAGCCAGCATGACCGGTGGTCAGGGATGATGGGAGTTGTAGTCCAACAATATCTGGGGACCCACAGGTTGAGAACCGCTGAATTCTAGTCCATCCCCCTGCAATTCAGGAATCTTGTTGTCAAACATGGGGCTCAAACCCACAACCCTGGGATTAAGAGGCTCATGCTCTACCAACTGAGCTATCCCAACCGAGTGAAGCCAGAAAGCCCAGGAAAACCCCTTGCCTCCAGCATGACCCCAAGATCCAGGGGTGGCATTGTTGCTGGGTAAGCATCATTGCACAACAGAGGAAACACGTACCGTATGAACGGTTTTTCAAATTGTTCTTCTCTTCTTTATGCTTCCACTGCCCTCCTATTTTCATTTAATGCCCCCTCCCCAAATTGCACCCGAGGCTACTACTGCCCCCCTGGATCATCCCCCCACTTTAGGAAACCCTGTTGTAGAGCTATGCCCACAAATGTTCACAGTGAAACAGATTTGGAGCATGGCAAAGGTGCTTTTCCGCACACATCAAGTCAGAGGCTGCTGGAGGAGCTGATCTAAACTTCCCGAAACAACGAGCAATCTGATGCTTATCTCACAATCCCGCTGAAGGAAAATGCCAAATCTGCCTAGTTTTACAGCGCCTCATTTAATTTCATGGTCCTGGGCATTCTTGTACTGAATGAGAAAAGCGCAGTCATATGTTTAAACAGCCCCACCCTGCCGGAGTGGCTGATATCTTGGTAGGCTTAACTCCTGGCAAATCCTATAGTTGGTGGCAGCAGCGGCAGCGATGACATGCCTTCGGATTAGTTGCAGAACACACAGCCTTTAGCAAACCAAGGGTTGAGGAGAGCGGAACGATGGAGAAGCTGCAAAAGTAAGTCTCCTTTTCTGGGTTACATGGGGAGATTGTGAGATGGGGGACAGTGGATGAAAATAAACCAGTTCCAGGAATAGGGGCAGTATGCCAACAAATGCTGTGTTGTGATTAGTTTTTGTTCTCTTTCTCTGAAGGAAGTTTCGTTTTGTTTTTAGCTTAATCTGACTGACAACTTCCAAGCATCTTTGGGCCTTCAATACTATGCCAATTTCCTGGGCGTAAAAGTCATTGAACTCATTTGTAAGATTCCACTGTTTAGCCCACAGTCTGGTCCTACGCAGACCTGCATAAATTCGTGTCCTATGCAGAAATCAGAATGCGTTGAAACTGCGGGGTTCGGGTATGTCCAGCTCATAGCTGTCAATGTTTCCCTTTTATTAAAGGGAAATTCCCTTATTCCTAATAGGATTCCTCGCAAGAAAAGGGAAAAGTTGACAGCTATGGTCCAGCTTTGCAGGAGGCAAGGCATTACTCTTGAAGCCTTAATAGTTATTTGTAGGATTACATCTTTAAAGACCTGAATGGAGACCAGAAAACTACTTAAGCTGTTTCCCACATCCTATGCAAGGCTTTTCTTAAGAGGGAATGGCTATTAGATTAGTTGCAGTTGCAGTCCTGTGCAGACTTACCAGGGGTAGATACCTCCAACACAATGGAAACTTCGATGCATGGTTAAGATCATTTGTGCTCATGAAGGGATTGGGGCAGTTATTCACAATCCCTCTTTCAATACTGGCTGCGTCTGCAAGTATTTCAGGGCAGACATACCACATCATTGCCCATCAGTGTGTGTCTGTAACATCCTGCTGAAATCCCGCAACTCTTTGTACCACAAACAGTCTGAATAATTTTTGTCCCACTCTTGTTGTACTTTAGTCCAAGAGTGACCCTCTAGGCACCAATAACGCGACATCATTGCAGAAGCATCACAGAACAACTAATGGAATGGTGTGTGGATGGTCCTGTTTAAATCCACCACAAATACGTTGAGAGCCAGTGTGGTGTAGTGGTCAAGAGCGGTAGACTCGTAATCTGGTGAACTGGGTTCGCTTCCCCACTCCTCCACATGCAGCTGCTGGGTGACCTTGGGCCAGTCATACTTCTCTGAAGTCTCTTAGCCCCACTCACCTCACAGAGTGTTTGCTGTGGGGAAAGAACGGAAAGGAGAATGTTAACAGCTTTGAGACTCCTTCGGGTAGTGATAAAGCAGGATATCAAATCCAAACTACTCTTCTTCTTCTTCTTCTTCTTCTTCTTCTTCTTCTTCTTCTTCTTCTTCTATTATTGCATCAATGACATGTTGCAGAATAAATATATACATATTATTTTTTTAAAAAAATTGTCCAGTAGCACCTTAGAGACCAACTAAGTTTGTTCCCGGTATGAGCTTTTGTGTGCATGCACACTTCTTCAGATACGAAAGCTCCTACCAAGAACAAATGTAGTTGGTCTCTAAGGGGCTACTGGACAATTTTTTTTCATTTTTAAAGTATATTTCTACTGTGTCAGACCAACACGGCTACCTACCTGAATGTTGCAGAATGCAGCCTCAAAAACAAAAAAACAAAAAAACAAAAAAACACACAACCTAGCAGTCTGGAGGGACTCCAAGACTTTAATGGTGTGGATGCACGGGAAGCTCAGGAGGACTCGGGAAGAAGGAAGTTTCATTTGGCTTTTTGAAAAATAGCAAGATTCAGGTTGAATCCTGACAAGACAGAAGTACTGTTTTTGGGGGACAGGAGGCGGGCAGGTGTGGAGGACTCCCTGGTCCTGCCCCTGAAGGACCAGGTGCGCAGCCTGGGAGTCATTTTGGACTCACAGCTGTCCATGGAGGCACAGGTCAATTCTGTGTCCAGGGCAGCTGTTTACCAGCGCCATCTGATACTCAGGCTGAGACCCTACCTGCCTGTGGACTGTCTCGCCAGAGTGGTGCATGCTCTGGTTATCTCTCGCTTGGACTACTGCAATGCGCTCTATGTGGGGCTACATTTGAAGGTGACCCAGAAACTACAACTAATCCAGAATGCGGCAGCTAGACTGGTAACTGGGAGCGGCCGCCGAGACCATATAACACCAGTCTTGAGAGACCTACACTGGCTCCCAGTACATTTCCGAGCACAATTCAAAGTGCTGGTGCTGACCTTTAAAGCCCTAAACGGCCTCGGTCCAGTATACCTGAAGGAGTGTCTCCACCCCCATCGTTCTACCCGGATGCTGAGGTCCAGCGCCGAGGGCCTTCTGGCAGTTCCCTCACTGCGAGAAGCCAAGTTACAGGGAAGCAGGCAGAGGGCCTTCTCGGTAGTGGCACCCGCCCTTTTGAACGCCCTCCCATCAGATGTCAAAGAGGAAAACTACCAGATTTTTAGAAGACATCTGAAGGCAGCCCTGTTTAGGGAAGCTTTTAATGTTTAATAGGTTATTGTATTTTAATATTCCACTGGAATCCGCCCAGAGTGGCTGGAGAAACCCAGCCAGATGGGTGGGGTATAAATGAATAAATAAATAAACAAACAAATAATATATAAAGGCTGTTGCTTAACGTGCTACATGGGCAACTGTGCAGCTGTCAATCAGTTGTTGGACTGGACCCAGACATCTCCCCCCTCCCCAAGGAAGCACTTCTGTTTCAGGGAGCTAATATATTGTTGCTCACCACCCCAATCTTCAAGAGGTGTGAGATTCCAGGGATTTTGGAAATGAGTCACAGTGAAGACTGTGATGTCTTTATGATGGACGGTTTATTTACATATATATTCAACCCAAGCCTACGACGGAGGGGACCACAGCATCAGCACCCCCACAATTCTCTTCTTTTTCCGCTAGTTTGCAGCCTTGGATTCAAACAGAAATCAAACATTGCTTTCAAACATTGCTCTGACTCTCTCTCCAGCTCGCTGCTTTGCTTCTAGGTCACATAACTCACTAAACTCTCAACTCTGGCTTCATCTGTTGAGGGATAAGCAGAAAGCCACCCAAGCATATTTAAGCCAAGGCTGGATAGATTCTGCAGGTGCAGTCTGCATTGCAGATTCTGGATTAAACCGGGGGGATGGGCTTGTTGATCTCCAGGGTGCCCCAAAACACTAACATTCTGTGCCAGAGATGGACAAATGTGTCCATTTCAGATTCCGGTCTAACGTTCAGTTTTCCACTTGCCCACATCAGTGTGCAATTCCCTTTTAAAAAAAGTCATCTTGAAAATTCAGAAGCATTTTGCTGTGAATGCCTCCTATTAAATACATTTTTGTATGCCGTTTTCCCTAGCAGAGACATTGGCAGACACGCTTTGCAAAGCAATTTTCCCTGCTTTAAGGCACCAATATATGAATTTATATGCACATTTCACCCACTGTATGGGTTTTTGTACACGTTAAGTGACTTGAGTGCTGCATTGCAAACTTTGGGGAACTGTGGGTTTGAAGGATGGGCTGTGCTTCCGTTTTAGATGTTGATTCGGAAAATGTGGATTAGATAGGTTTGCCTTTAAGTGAAAAATTCCCCCCTGTTCCCTGTTCTCCACAGTCCATGCTAAACTCTGTAAGTCATGTGGACTAGTAGGGAAACCAGCATATTTACCACCCAAATGCTTGATGACGAAAAAACCCCTTAATGCCTTGCTGGACCACATGGAAAGTGAATTATGAGGTGCTTGTTGCAAAGTCTCAAAGTCACAAGCTCAAAGGAGAATGCTTTGAGACTCCTTAAAGGGAGTGAAATGCGGGATATCAAATCCAAACTCTTCTTCTTCTTCTTCTTCTTCTTACCTCTAAAAGGTAAAAGGTAAACTCCACCAGAGCATGTGACCGTCCTGTGGCCAGTTGGTGTGAGAGAGTGTGTTGCTCTGCGCATGCTCAGGAGTTCAGTTAATTTATTTCCTTCACCAAATATGTCTCTTCACGTACAAGTGCTTCCCTTTTCCAGAACAAAGATCTTTCTGAAAGTTACGTTAAGGTTACTGGAGGAAGCTTTTTGGTTCCAAAAACACATATAATAAAATAGAACGAGCAGGTCAAGCCTGTCTGCGGTGTTGATTGACACCGATCATAACCAACCCTGCCATTGGGCAAGATGTCCTGCTTGCTCAACAGGACCGCCCCTTCATCTTCTCCCTCTTGCAGCTTCCCAGGTCACAAGGCCAATAACTGAGCACACCTGCTGCCTTAACAGCAGACAAGTCCCCAATGCTGAGGTGAGCAGATGCCTAGTCATGGAGAAGACAGAGAGAGATGGAGCAGGGAGACAGAAACCGACTGCCCTGTGACTGGAGAATCCATTTTAGAGCCAATATGTACATAAAGAGATGCAAATTAGGGCTATC